CCATAAGCTTTCAGTCTTCTGGCCAGGAGTAGTAATAACTTTTTTATTGCCTGCTTTCAACCTCTTCTGCCTTTGCTACAGGCGATTCCTTTTCATCCTTATAAAAGTTGGAATAACAAAAGACATGCCACCGTATATAGTTTTAAGAAATTCACCGGGAGGTTTATGGACCTTTTTCAAATCATTAGCTTTCCCAGAATAGTTTCTGTTTCATACTTCTTGCTGTACTTCTGCCTGTCTAGTTACTGACTGCATTGTTCTTGTCTTGTGTCCCTCCTGCCTCCCTTGAGTGGACTGCCCTTGTGGTTTTTAATGTGTATGGACTGCTGCTCATACCATGCTTCTTCTGGTGGTCTTACTTTAACTGAGATTTCAGAAGGCCATGAGACTTCTTAAATCAAACTCTTATACTGTTATTAAAAAACCTGCAAGCAAGTGACTCTCCTTAGCTTTTAAGTGAAGTCATAGGTTATGGACATATTTTTCTAAGGAATATAGGGAAGAGTTAGAGGCTAATCCCCATATTTTTCAGAAAAGTAGAAAAATACTTTAAATGGAAAAATAGAAAACAAAACAGTGGAGTTGCTGTTGGTCAGATAAATTTGTATTGTTTTGTCAAGGGAAAAAGAAACCCAGATAGTACTTCCCTCTTTAATAGTTATACTTGTGTATTAATGATTTGCCTGCTTGGCAGAGATAACTATTAAAGCATGGGGCTAAATTACTAGAGTTGTGTGCATTATGAGTTTAGTGTATCCTGTTCACTGTGTTTAGGTTAAGAAACTGTCATGATGCAGTACCAGACTAACATAGCTGTTGTGGTTCCAGTGTCCAGGCAGGGTAGCTTGTGTATTACTGCATAACACAGTGTTGTAAATGATCTTGTTTTATTAGATGGCTCTTTACAGTATGTCTTTTAATAACTTAATTTCAGCAGTGTTCTCCAGTGATGAAAGTGTTACTGATAAAGCACAGGACTGTCTACCAAATTCCTCTGCAACAGTGTGACACTACTATGGAAGACAAAAGAATAAAATGTACAGCATTTGAACAGGGAGGCGATCCTGTAAATAGTGTTTCTGATCAGTCATTACAGTTGCATGGTTGCTAATTAAAAATCCAATGAATCTTATGAAACACACAATACTATAGGAAAAAAAGATGCAGTACTTCATGGATTGCCATTAGGGCTAACTAGAGAGTTTTAAATGTATTCCACAAAACTTGTACAGAACTGTCTGCCCAGTGCATCATTCAGGATTATGCATAATCATACATACATTCTGAAAAACCTAACTTTCTCATGCATAAGGGAAACTGAACTGTTCAAGGAAGTAGAAAAGATTTCTTGGGACACTGAAATTAGGAGCTGATTCACTTCTGTTTTCCAGAAATTTTGTGCTGTGATAGTGTTTTACGAATAAGGTCTGAAGTATGCAAATCAGAGTTTAAACGGCCAGTTTCAGGTTGTTATACTTATTTGTTCTTCTGTAGCAGGTATCTTCTAAAGTGCAAACAGCTGCCTCTATCTAAAGGACAATTAATAAATTTAGCCATTTTTGTTCTTAGCAGGGATTAATTCATTTTACAGCTTTTAATAAGAGCAGGTTTCTTTGCTTTTTTCCGTGATGAAAAGAAGCAGCATTTGATTTTGACCTTGTCAGATGATACAATCCTAGTCAATATATTATTGTTGGCAGTTTTTAAGGATTCACCCTGGATGCATGTGCATGCACGTGCAGCAACAACCAAAGTCCACTGGAAAGCAATCTGTGCTGCCTGCGGTGCACAGAAACACACCTGAGGGTTTTACTGAAAAATGTAATACAAATAAATAGCTTTCACCTGTTTCTTGGGGAATCTTTTAGACCTCTGGCTGTTAGTCCTTGTCCCAGTTCTTGGGGAAAATCTGTTTTGCTTTTAAGTGCTTTATCTGTAATCAGCTTATTCAGAATTAATCTCCATGCCCATCTGCAGGCTCTTGACAGGCTGGTAGTTTCCCTTCCATCTCAGCCTCGTGCCCAGAGGAACTGCACACTTGCAACTAGTAAAATTTTTGTTGTTTTCAGCATGTGTAAAGTTGCCACAGGAAAATAACGTTAAGCTTTAAAACAGGGGTATTGATGTTAGGTAACTGTTGAGGAGAAGCGAAGTTGAGTGTAAGATCTTGTAGCCGCTCATTTAGCCATGCCAAGCTTCACTATGCGGTGTGTTTCAGCATCCAGTTCTACGTATTTTTTTTTTATTTTTTTCTGAGGAAAGTAAAGAAGAGCAAACACAATGAAATGGAGTAAACATGATGAAATGTTGTCCTACAGAAGTATTCCTTGTGGAGTCAATTTTCAGTTTCTTTAATGCAAGATGATGATGAGGAGGGAATATTTGTCGTTGACAGACATTTGATAGTATCATGAAATGCCAATTATGCAACATATATACAACAGTTTTCACGTTTCGTCTTTTCACCCAGATTTTAGGTTACCTGGGGAGTGGCTGCTTCTCTAGAGTCACTCTGATAATTAGTAGAAGAGTTGGAAATTGTCTGCTTGTTTCTGTCTTGAAGTTTTTGACTACTGCTGTGCATTCCTTTACCTCACAGTGATTCTTCTGTTTGGGTGAAATGAGGATAGGTGAGAGGTGTACGGGTATCTTGTGCTTTGCTGTTTTGTTGACCCTGGTCAGAGGTGTTGCTGGCTTGGAGACTGTGGAAAAGCAAGATTTCTTACGGAAGGATTCTGCTCCCACTGAGTTTTGGTAATCTAGATCTCTAGGTCAGTGTTTGAGATTGCCTCTCTTGCAGTCCCCCGTGTCCAAATCCGGTGTGTGTTCTTCCTCCCTCAACAGCTGATGTTTATGTATATGTGTAGCAGCTGTGTTTTTATGTTTAGAGTCTAGCACTGTTAATGTGATACGCATTTAGGCATGTAATCCCTTCTGATAAATCCAGAGAGCCTAAGTGTAAGTGACGGGTTAATAGTTAAATAACTGCTGTTGATTTAGAGCCCATTACTTTGGTTTTGTTTTTTTCTCCTGTCCTCTTGTAGAGAGATAAAGCAATATGACAAAAGTTAAAAGATAAAGTTGTAGAAGGTGAATGGCATCTGTTCTGTTCCTTCTCAGTAGAAAGACCAACTTCAGTATTTCTTTGAAGTAATTCAGTGAATTTACATTTTAAAATGTAGTAGCTCGTCTGTTGGTTTGACAGACCTGGTGCTGAATGCGTGTTTTTATTTTGTTGTTAATGAGCACTGTGACTGTCAAGTGTTGCTGACCATTAGGAATGCTATGGTACAACTTTTTGTGAGGGCTTTGAGCCCTAAGCACTTAAAGATGAGTTCATCAAATACTTGGTTGTTAATTGTAATCGAGTTTGTTTTGCTGACTGATGAAATCCTTCTCCTTCTGTTTGTAGGATCAGAAAGTTAAATCTCTTCTCCAGAAATTGTTCTGCTGTAACAGACTGACAGCTGAGCAGGTGCTGAGGGATGATTGCTTCCTCCTAGTTGATGCAATTCCAGTTTCACCACAGTCAGGTGAAGAGCATGAGTCAGGTGAAGAGCATGAGTCAGGTGAAGAGCATGAGTCAGGTGAAGAGCATGAGTCAGGTGAAGAGCATGAGTCAGGTGAAGACATATGAAAACAAAATGCACTTGACTGAGGAGAATGGAGCAAACCCTACTCAGTAGATGAGGAACTTTTCCATCAGGTGTTTGAATGAGACTTCTGTTTTTGTTGGGTTTTGAAATCATTGTCCTGATTCAAAATACCAAAATATAAAAGATTTGGTAGGTGTGTTACATGATTACACAATCTTCACTGCGTTTTAAGTACATTTTATTCTAAGTAAGTGTTTGGGGTTATAAATGTGGTTTTGCTGATTGTGTTCTTAGTTTGTCAGCCTTCTTTGTCTATTATGTAGGCTTTAAATTTACAGAGAATAGTCTTGTTAGATACAAGAGATCTTGAAGATGAAGCTTTAGTGACTGGGTTTTGTGTCCAGTTTTCTATCGCTCTTCTTGCTGTGATTCCAGGTAATGTTCCTCTTAAACATGCTATAGGGCATTAGGTTTTTGCTGGAGCTTTTTTGTTATTGCATAGACAAGTTGTTACTACAGCAACTGCCTTCAAGATTTAAGGGGAAAAAAAAAGTACTGCTAGTAAACTAGTAAAGGAAATGGAGAGCAGCCTGCTCTCTTCTCTGTCTTTCTGCATTTGAAGAATGCAAACGGCTTTCTAGAGAGCAGGCATCCTTCTGGTTGCTCCTTTGCAGTGCTGCTGCCAAACAAAATGCCATACGCATGCATTTGCAAATACTGCTGCTTATTTGCTCTACATAAGTGTGTGTATATATCGTCGTTCTGAAACAATGTTCGCAATAGCCATAAAGGCATGATGTTCATGAGCAGCTTTGTTTGCCACTGTTACGCTTTGCTGTTAATGTTACCATTGAAGGAGTTTTGTCATCACTGTACTTTTACAGGAAACTATTGCTTGTCTTCGTGATGATTTTCATTTCTTCTCAGAATGAAACAGGTCAAAATGTACAGGGTTGCTGTAGCGATATATTTAGCCTCTGGGTGTTGCTATTGGACAGTGCTGTTGGCAGACTGGTATTTTGTAGAGGGATTGTTGAAGCTGCATGCTGTCGGATGAAGAATGTGAAAACGCTGTATGTGAGGGACAAGAAGCAGCACCAGGGGAATTGGGGAGCCCTCCGGTACAATAATACAGTCCACAGTGCATAGAAGATACCGCCTTGGCAGATCCACGCCTGGTATTAGACTTGGTTTTCCATCCTTAAATTAATTAGTTTTTTATATGGAATAGCCTATAAGATGCTTCAACCTTTTTTCGTTAAATGATAATGAATTTTTAAATTTCTGTAATGTGTGTATAGCCTTTGTTAAAAATATTTTTTATGTAGAATTTTTGGTTAGTGTGGTAAATATTGTTGTTACAGAAATCACAGAAGATTAATACCTTTTTTTTGTCAATGAAAATAAACAGTTTAGCGATTTTGTGGGATGCTTTCCAAATACTGATTGCAGTCTTTCACTGTTAATAAAAGGCTAACTTTAATTAATATTAAACACTGAATAGAGGTTAGAAGATTAACCTGATGGTTTGTGTCATGCTGTGTCATGTAAATTAGAATAAATTTTTGCCCGGTTTTCCTGCACCAGAGTCCATGCAATGTAAAGTGTACTTCTTAAATGGCCAAATTGCTGACCTTCTTGATTTTCTGAAACCAGAAGTTGCTGTGTATGCTTGATTAAAAAAACCTGCAGTCTCTTCAAAATCCCTTCACCAGCTGTAAGTAATGTGATTTTTACGCGTGGAACCTAGCACAAGATGGTTTTTTTTTTTTGAAAAAAAACAAACAGCAGTAAAACTTTTGAAACCATTTGGTATGTATGAGTGTCAGAGTATGACACAGCCTTTCAGTTTGAAGTAAATGTTGATTACAGTCTTAATGTCACTGGTTCTGTTTGTTTCTGCTTCGACCTTTTCTGTGGTAGTTTTGTAGCTCTGGCTTTCTTTTAATTTCTTCCTTGCCAGAGGCCTTAAGAAAACAGATTGGTTGAGGATCATGTTGTTCAGCTGTCCTCCCAAAGCTGAATGCTAACCCATGGTAATGGACTGCCTGCTGTTTAGTTTGAGACACCTTTTTCAACTGCATCTCTTCTGGCTAGAAGATGGGTACTTTGAGAATAGAGAAGGAAGGCTGAAATGATCCTGTAGGAATGATCTGTCTCCTTACTTGCTTACTGCTGCTTCTGAGAAACCCAAACAAAACTTACCTCACTCTTCCTGGTATGAGCATTCTGCAGTTTTCAGCAGTGTCCTTGCAAGGAGCAGATCGGTGGGGGACCTTCAGGGACTATTACTTCACTGGGAAGTAAGGAGTTCGGTTGCTCTCATGGGCCCAGGACATCCGTATCTTCCTATAGCCTGTAATGGTAAGCCTGCAGTTCCAGGTCTTGTTGCTGACAACCTCCTTTCACGAGGACTGTTACCTTTGCTTGTACAGATTTGTGTTCTGTCTGCACTCGTCATCTTGGTGTCCACCAGTCGTGTGTCTGTATCAGTCTCGGCTTTTGCTCAGGATGTCGTACCCAAGTCAGCTACTACAATCACCTTCTAGGCTGTAGATTTGGGACCATAGTCACCTAAGAGGAAATGCTTTCTTCAGGTACCTGCAAAGAACTACTTCCTCGGGCTCTACCTAACCTAGCTTGCAGAGCTGGGATAGGGCTGGTTTGCTTTGGGAAGAGGAGTTATTTCACCAGACTGGGAGACCATCAACATTTCTTTTCTCCATGGTTTGGGTGGCGCTGTGGGAACTAATCCTTTCTGAATGCTGCACCTCTGGGCACTTCTGGAGACTCCTGCTGTTCTGTTCACTGCCTCTTAATCTTCATACCCACCCTAGCATCCATAATAACATTACTGCATCTTTACACACAGTTTGCTGCTCATGCCATTAGTATTTAACACTTCTGCCTCTGGAGTTTAGACAAGGGTGGGTTTTTTTGTACTACAAAATAGCTTTCTGCTAGTAAAGAGTCTTCCTTATCAGCACTTGCTAGTATTTTAACAATTTTTTTTTCCTGGTGGTGGCTGCAAGTTTCTATAGCCTGCAGGTTAAAATGTATTCCTTCATAGGCAACTGCCTCAAGGACTTTCCATAAACTTAAATAAAATTTATTTCATCTGCAGTCACTTCATTTCCCAGCTTACAAGGAAATTGGTATGAATTCATCCTGATCCCAAATCAGGAGTCTAGTAGCTTGCAAATTGATGGCTTTTTAGGCCGTGATGGATGTTTGAGAGCCAGATCTTCATTCATATACTTTAAAATACTGGTGAAAACTTTCCTCACATTTCTGGGTGTGTGTTGATAGGCACTAATTAAGATTATGCACTGTGCCACACTTCACTTGCAGCTCCTGCAGCAGTTGTCTGAAATGCGCATTTTTCACAGCAGCCACACCATGGTTAGACTAACTGAAAACAATTGTCAAATTGTCACATGCTTTTGGATTGTGGACAGACCTGCTGTTATGGCATGGAATTCTCTTCTGTTAGTGCCAGCCTGCGCTGTGGTGGGGGCATGTGGGCTCAGGTGTTGGAATTGGGTTTTGGCAGCTTTAGATTCAGAGGCTGCAATACATGAAGATCACACCATGTACAAGCATCTTTGAAAATCCATTTGAATTGGATTTTTAAAAAATATATTTTATTATCCCTTTTGTCTGTCGTCTATGTAGGTGTTACAGCTGCAAGGTACGTTACCAGTAGGTGAGGAGAAATGAGATTTGCCCTGCTGTGTGAAGACGTGGTGGTGGTTTGTATTTGTATCCCCTTGCGTTGCCAGTAGCTAGTAAGCTGCCCAAGGCCTGTGGGTGGGACCCACTTCCAATTGCTGTACAGCAGAGCTGGAAAAGCTTGCCAGAACTCTGACACGCATTTCTTCACTTGTGAACTTCCAGCTATTCAGCTTCCCTGCAATCTTAGTGATTGGTAGCATGGTCAAGCAGACTGGATCTGTTCTGTCTCATCTTGACAGTCCCAGCGTGGACTGGAAGTTTCTGATACCCTGAGTATGGTATTATGAGTTTAATCTCTCAATTTAGCAGCCCTTTGGCTTCTTTATGATCTGCTTTTTCAACTCTGTGGCCTGGTGTTTCAGCAAAGCCAAGAGCTGTACCGCCTTGTGTCAGTGTCCTGGATACTGTGATTCTGTGATACTGGCAGGCTTGACAGCTCTGGAGACAGAGTCCTTGTTTGAAGTGGATGAAGATGGTGCATGTCAGCTTTGGGGCTTTGAGAAGCAATATATTACTCCTTTACAGAATCACAGAATGGTAGGGGTTGGAAGGGACCTCTGTGGGTCATCTACTCCAACCCTCCCGCCGAAGTAGGGTCACCTACAGCAGGTTGCAGAGGACTTTGTCAAGGTGGGTCTTGAATATCTCCAGAGAAGGAGACTCCACCACTTCCCTGGGCAGCTTGTTCCAGTGCTCCGTCACCCTCGGAGGGAAGAAGTTCTTCCTCATGTTCAGACGGAACTTCCTGTGCCTCAGTTTGTGCCCGTTGCCCCTTGTCCTGTTGCTGGGCACCACTGAAAAGAGTCTGGCCCCATCTTCCTGACACCCACCCTTCAGATATTTGTAAGCGTTTTTAGATGACTCAACAGCAGGTTTTGCCCTTACCAAGCGTGTCTTGGATTTTCTGTTCTCCCAGATGTGGTCTGAGATGCCTGTGTGGTTAAAGTGCGTGTTGCGGCCTTGCAGTCAGTACGTGGTTCCATGTTAGTTCCAAGGGCCGAGGGAACATTTGTAACGTCCTCTTCATCACTTACCAAGTCCTCCCTGCATTGCTGCAGCTTCCCTTTCTAACCAACTTCTTGAGAACTTTTCTTCTGTTCCCTGTCCTCGATCTGGTAATAAGATCTGTTGCTCTCAAAGCTGTTACCAGAACCGGAAAATCTGTGAAATGCAAGTTCTTAATAGTGTTGCCTTATCGATCCTGTGGTGGGTTAAGTGACTGCCTGTTCCCCCACCTTGCCCTGCCAAGGCAGGGGTAGAGCAGACGCGGGGACAGTTCTTGAAGGTGATATGAGAGTTATGTAGC